CTAACCATTCACGTTATTTGCATGGATAGGGTCTGAGAGTATGAATGGCTAGAGCCTCGGCAAATTTCGGTAACTTTGTGTTTCTTGTGTTGTCGAAGATCTAAGTTTTTTTCTGATCATTCGACGACGTAATGGTTATAAACTGTCGTATATCCCTTTCTTAAGCCACACCGGGATGTGTTCGGCCATCCGGTGACTTAACTGCCTCTCCTTCCTTCCTATGTAGATGGCCAAGCATCCACACTTGAATTGGTAAACACAATATGATTTGGCGGCGGGGGTCAATAGTTCTTTCATCGATGTCGATGCTGTCCGGGTGGTAGGGAAGACAATGACTGGGTCAACGGCGCAATAAACTCGCTTGACGCCATAGTTCAACCGCTTGCTGACTATACCTTTTCAAATTCAAGTGAATCCCGACCGACACGGGTCAATTACCGCCGGGTTCATTCATTCACGTCTATGACGTGCACTCGATCAACGATCACGCACAGAACGTTCCAGGGTTTTGCGGGTGGGGGACAGCCCACCCCACCGAAAACGTATTCCTCCAGTGTTCCCCTTTCTTGTGTTGTTGTCATTTTGTCCGTTGTGAATAATTTTGTATCGAATGGGAGGGAAGCTCGTGAAATGCAAGTATTGCCCAGACCACAAATTCTTTCAGCAGATAGATCTTTTAAGTGATCCATCTGGTTGACGAGTAATAATTATATCTAAAAACTTGATGTGGTCATTCCGTTCGGCGTAACGAGTAAACTGAATATTTGAGTGATTTGAGTGATTCGATAGAATGGGTTTTCTCCGTCCTCCTTGATGTTGCTTATGACGAACATGTCATCAACATAGCGACAGTACAGATCTAATTTTGAGATACCATATTCAAGCCTTTCTTCTAGGTGGATATAAAAATCTCCCCAAGAATCGGTCCCAGTGGATTTCCCATGACTGGCGATATCCTTGTTCTGAGGAACGAATTTTTACTTCCCTTAAACAGTAACGTGCTTCTGTAAACCATTCTTCCTGACACCAGTAGTTCATCAAGATTGCCGCTTTTATTGGATGAGAATCCCTATGGTCACCTTCCAAGAAGAGCGCTTGGATAGACTTTACGAGGGTGGTCGGTATCATTTACCGTTTCGGCCACGCAACAAAACTAAATGAAGCTAAGTTCACCGTTTTCCGAACGGTTGAAAAATACTGTTAGAAAATTCACGTTGGGATGAACCAGTTACATCCAGAACGGTGATGAAATATTTTTATGCTCTGTTTGGTGAACTAGTTTTAATAAATAACAGGTAAAATGTCTCAGAGAATCAAATTTGGTTCAGGGTTTGCTTTTGAAAATGAAACCCGACTTGGGAGTTAGTAATCGAATTGCTGATACTAGTTTATTCGAGATGTTGATCGAACTCCGAATACGTTTCCCACTTCCATTGCTATTCGTTCTGTCTTGTACGAGTTCGGAAGGAATAAGACAATTATTTGATAAATCCAGCGTCACAGCAAATAATTTTTCTTTCTCCAAGTGGAACCAAATCTGAAAACCAAGTAATTTGTGAACGGGAATCCGGTTGTTCGGGCGAAAACCAGACATTTAATTGTCACTTGCCATATCCTCGACTAAATCTATTATTCTGAGTTTTGTCTCGGCGTCTAGTCAGGTTAATTGTACGTAACACAGGGTAATGAGAGGTTTTTAAAAGTTTGGTTTATTCACAATCTGTTTCCAATAACGTTAAGTCACGTAAGAATGATTCATCTGAATAATGTACATTTAGAGAGGTATCTGTTGATTTCATGTTTTTACAGTAGGACCATATGTACAAAAGTATACGAGAGGGAACGGGGGGGCGGTAAGGTCTGATAGCTTCCATGACCATCATCGTTTGGGGAAACAGACAAACAATAAGGTGACAATCACGAAATAGTAAGGTCCTACAATCAGTGTTGTTGTTTTTCGAATCGCCATATTTTTCTGCCTTGTGACGAATGTTGTCTGTTGCTTTGGTCCAACATCATTCACACTCTCGTGTTGTCCATGTTCTGCAAAAGGAGCAGCAGGGTGAATAAATTGTTAGTTTAAAGTATCTGAAATTTTAGGATCATTAGAATTGTATTAAGCCCGATGTTGATTATCACTCAAATTATTAATGGATGCTATTTGGGGTACTGCTTTCATGCTTAGAATGACGCATAGGATTATTTGTATGGAGAACAGATAACGTTGTTTNACATTAAAGTACGGAATCATTTGTTTCCCAAAGCTTTCTCCGTTCGGCGACATTCATTAATGAGATCAGAATGACATAAATTTGAAATTTTCCCCTGTCTCTTTACAAGTTCGAAAATGTGAAAATTTTGCAAATGCATATTCACCTGTTGAGCTTTATTTGCCGAGGGAAACCAAGATATAGCAAGATTTTGCAATCACATGGAATTTAAAATGACATGACAAAGTATATCGAACGAAGAATTATCTGTTTACTCTTGTTCTTTTGGCTAGACAATACAAAGCCTAGGAACCTAGTGACACACCTAAAATTTAAGGAAAACTAAATTAACTTATCAAAATGAACAGTGCTTGATAATCAGCAGCTGAATGTTGGCCCTTATCAAGTTTTGAACTAACCCACAAATTGAATCGAATCCGAAGAAAGCCCTGTAAGACACACGATTTAATGTAGGTTAGAACTAAATAGTATAACTTGAAGCGTGTGCGCTTCTATGTATTTGTTCTCCGAAGTCCCCATATATATTGGAAATGTGAATCATCCAAATCTTAGGTGTGCGGTTTTCATATAATATTTACACACTTTTAACTTGTCTGAAATAAAACATTCTACATAACCTGAACTGACCAATAGCCCACTAAGTTTTCTACCGTTATTATTATTATTGCTAATATTATTGTTATTACAGTTTAAGAACTTAGTAGAGCAACAAATGCATGCTGACACTATAATGCGACTATAGTGAACAACATATTACACATTTGATTTAGCCTTTTACTCGCCTCCAAAAGCCTCATCATGGTCGAGGGTGGATGTCTAAGGTTTCGGCTGGTCACCCTTCCCTTGCAGGTCTTGAAATGCTCCCATATTACCAAGCGTCTCGAATAGCCTCCGTTGAGGAAGCGCTACTCATTGCCTTTTCGTGGCGGAGGTGTTTTCCCGCCAGAGTGAGAGGACGAAAAGCCGCCATCCGGGGCTAAAACCGGGTTGGTGGACTACTGTCAATCCATCAAGGGGTCTTGATCAAAAACCCTGATTCCAAACCAACCAGGCGAAGATGTACGAACCACAGCCACACATTTTCGGTTGTGGCAGTAGTCACCGGCTTGATTGGGTACTAAGGTGTATTGGGCGCCTTGGACATTTGACCATGTCCAAGGGGTGTATGATCCGACGAACTGGACACCGGCTGCCAATGAACTGCGGTTTTCACGCACCGCCCCGCTGCCTTGCGGGTCAGGCTTTGGCTAGCCGAAGGTTCCGGTTGTGAATTTCCCAAGGAAATTCACTTGCCCTGGCCTGGGCAACATGGCGGTATTCCGCCCACAGGCTAATCAAGGAACGTTTTTTCTTTTATAAACAAAAAATCATTCCGTTTAATGTATCCATTTATTCATTTCTCTTTTACTCCGCATTAGTAGTATGTTGTGTCATTTTGTTTCTGACTGAATTTTATTTTATACCCAACACACACTAAATCTGATTAATCAAACTTGATCACACTGGCTTACTATACGGCTTACTCAATGTTTAATTAGCCAGTTATTCTAAGGAAAATGGGTATGTTACTGTTTCTCAAGGATTGAACAGAATCATCAAGTCACGTCTGATCGAACACTGTCTTCGGCTTTCTATCAGCCAGTTGCGAGCAGGATAAGATTTAAGGTAAAACAATAAACTAGCGAGTTTTTATCTTATGGACACAATACACCTACTTTGATTTTGTTTTATCGCATGATCACTGTAAATTCATCTACCCAACTGGACATTAAATGCTTGTGATAAGTAGTCCGTTTCCGAATGTGTTTACAAACGAGAAGCAAATTGAAAAGCCATCGCTCGGATGATCATGGTTAGGTGCTTGCCACATGATTTCAAGAATGAAGTGAACTGTGTCCGGTATAGACCAGGTGAAACATCTGCAAAGTACTCCAATTATTTGACCAGTAGGGTCTATAGTCGGATGAATGTGCACTGCTGATATGACCCAAACGGATGAACAACATTTAACGGTGCATCCCATTATTGCAGTTAATTTCTTCTTTTATCGCAGACGATGAATTTCTTCTTAAAACACAATTAACCTCTGAATTCCTCACTTTTATAAACAAAAGGTTCTCACTAGAACATTTAAAGTTAGCAAAATTGACCGTAATAAGTGCAATTCACTTGATTTATAGTTTACGGTCATATTATAATTCACCTGAACCTTTCAGTAAGCACCGTTTGACAGCAGTACATGGTTTCCGGTACTTTAAGTTCCTTGAATGTGACAGTCAGTTGATGTAAAATAACTTATATTCTGCTAATGTGTTTCTGGCTGGGTTTGCACATCCGTAAACCTTTGCAGTGTGAATGAATGCCTGTTGCGAGGTATTCAGCTTGAACTCCTGATTGCAATAAAGCAAGACCACGGGGACCGTACCATGAATGTTTGAATATTGAAAAAAGTGTGTAACCAGCTTATCTTTTATTTAATGCATAACCGAAGCAAATCAGTTTTGTTGGTTTAAACAGATGGTACAACCTGGCGTTTTGTAAAACGCCAAACACAATGGGCACAAAACAAAAAGAAATGTAATTAAATTATGTTCTCCGTGTGCGTTCTTCTTTATGAGAATGTACTATCAACAACCCTAGTTTCACTTCAACAACGGATGAAATAGTTTGTGGTAATCACGCACCTTTTTTGCGCGTTCACCTGTTTTCGTCTTCAGTTTATCCGAAAGGTTCTATGCAATGTTATTCGGTTAAAAACGCAATACAAATTCAATTTTCCTGGACTGGGGACAAACGCAATACCAAAGCATAACTCGATTTTCACTCACCTTCGGCCTTGAGCACAAATGTGCCTTCAACGAGTGGTTCAAAAACATTCCTAGAATACTTTTTACATCTCCAAAGTCCGAAAAAATCCGGGGTAAGTTTGCTGATCCGAAGTACACTGTACAGAGTATGGTTATTGATCCAACGGTTGGTCACATCTATCATTTGTCCAGTCAACGAGGACAGTCGAATACTTGTGGATGGCATCATGTTATTCCAGGCTGGCTCACTTCTCTGATCCGGAAATGTGTGCGGATAGATAATGCGATCACGCAAAGACCACTGCACACCGGCAGATTTGTCAAGTCCGTGAAAATGTGCTAAGCATGCCAATACATGCGGTTTGCCCAACACGCCTTTAGTATCACTTTCTATTGTCACCTCTGGAAACACAAATTTCAGAGATGGATATCAGTTTTCAAGTCCTTAGGTAATTTTTGTCATTCCGATAAAAATTCCAGTTAGAAAAAAAGAAATGATTCGAAACACACACTTTTAGTTTGAATTTTCCACCTGAGAGCCTTGAGAAATTGACTTACACATTTAACAAAAGAGGTTGGCGATAATTAGGAAAACATTTTTCGAATCGCCGGAGACATCACCTTCGAATGAGGAAGAATTTACCATAATTATCAAAGCTAAATGGGAGCTTATTATGTTTTAAAAACTCCATTCGTCATGAACCATCACTGCTGTGTTCTCCACTGAAAAGGATTTAAGATGTTTTACATCTTTCTGGTAGCATGAAAGAGACACGTCCACGAAGTCCCTTGTGAATCGAGCACGGTACAGTTCTTCTGTCCAGTAGTGGTGGAACCTTACAGAAAAGTACTGAGTTTGGGGGTTGACCGTCGTATGATGATGCTTAACAATTTTAAGAACAGAGCTGCATCAGGTAGTTTTAGACGTGCAGCAAGCTGTTGGTATCCATATGAGAAAATTCGAATGTTAAGCGCATCGTGTACCAAGAATTTGAGTCCAGATGCCAATATCATTGGGATTTGAGATTCAACGATGCTGATGAGGTGCAATAAACATGAACCAAATTCCAAAACTTTTCAATGGTGAGTATAACGGCGACACTAGGTGATAAAGGTATATTCCTATGATAGTTTGTATCAATCTCTCACTTTGTTAACACTATGTATTTACTTTGGGCTATTTTCCACATATTAATGAAATTACAGCCATCCCACCACCAACCCCTAATGACCCAAACCAATGCTCATGTGTGAGGACCACAGTGTGAGCAAAATCCGGTTATAGCACTGGAATGTTGATTATTTATCTTCAAAGTTGTCATGATTTCTCTCTCCCTCCATTCTAAACAGTTTGATACAAATTGTGATGTATTGGCCTGTAGAAGAATCACCGCAAACGAGCTTGTTCGCTACTTTGTGTTCTCTTACAATGTATAAGGATGGTATATTTGGTAAAATTACATTTTCTTACCACGTCCCGCAATCGGGCGGCATTTTGAATGCTTTCTTGAACAATCCTTATTCTAAGGCAGTTTGTGATTCTAAGAACAGAAAGGATATATTATATGTAATCTATGCCTAACCTATTTTAATTACCTGAGAGCGATGAACTCGTTTCTAGATAAGAGGCTGCGGCTAAGCAAATAGCAGCTACCGCGTCACGTTTCCATGTGAGTTAGTCGGTGGTGACGAGACTCGACCATTCAAAGATGCCTGATTAACCAGGGCATGTCAAAGAGGGCACTGTTAACATATCATTTTATCATGTTATCAATGTCATAAACTAATAAACTATAAATTGCGACACAACCGTCCACAGAGATCGATTTTGCTGCCCGATGCAGAAAAAGTATCTGTCAAAACACAGCACAGCATTTCCCAAGCTGAAATTTAATGTTTATTGTGATTTATGTGATTCCGCGATCTGCTAACGTCTATTGCATGAAATACCAAAACTTTAGGAAGAAGTTAGCATCAAGTTGATTGCAGCTTGTGTGTTTGAGAAAGTAACATTTCTTAAATTACGCGCACTGGTTTAAATGAGAAAAGAACCAAAACGGGCTGTATTTACGCTGCTTTCATCACAGAAGTGATGCAGACTTGTGTTGTTTCAAACAAATAGTTTACCCAGGATTTTATCAACAAAGAATGAAGGAGACCTTCAGATTATTTGCATTCTGTCAGTAAAGACAAATAAGTTATTTACCGGTATGCTCGGTTTATGACCTGGGGTATAGAGTCTGTAGACAAGAAATAACGTGAATGGTAAAAAACTGAATCTTCTAGTAATCCTCACATGATATGAAATCATTCATGTGATGAATTATGGGTCAATCTGTTATCGGTTGCCCAAATGAACATGTGACTGTAAAGACGCATGTGGGCTTTTAATTGGACACGTTTAGAATGACCTCGTCGGCTGAACGGGGGCATGTCTTATCCGCTAACTACTTTAAAATGACTACCTTAGGGCATTATCACAGACTGTGGTTTGGGATTTAATTCAATATGCAATGTATATACATGGGTATACACTGTGAAATGCAAATTACCGTAAAGGACAATTGGGGGTTCAAACTGCACGAGTGTTTTACCTTGGCTGATTCTCGTTAACAGCACGTTTCACTGGACCAAACTGGTGATGGGACTCAAAGAGGCAAGTAACTGACCAAAAAATCTTAATCAATCACCACATCCGCTTGTAACTGCTTATCATTCACCTTATCAAAGTGTTTTTAAAATACTAACTAATATGAAGTAAGCAGTAGTCTTAAGTCGAGGATCACCAAAGCGACTTCGTTGATTTGTCACACACGACTTTACCCATGAAAACTCCACATCACTTGTCACGTTCCTTTCAGAGGACGCGTATCCCATCGATAATGCAAGAATAATTTACACATCGTGTAGCTTTTAGGCAATTTTTCAACTATCATCCAGCTGTACCCCAAACTTCCTCAAACGAATGGTTCGATACATATGGACACAAACGTGATCTCCGAGAATGGAAAACTATGGTTTCTGTTCTCATGTCAATACTGCTACGGTTTTTGTTGAAATTGTGCTTAGTGATCATTATGTTTTGGGGGAATCGTAATTAGTTTCAACTTTTTTCAAGGCCAGTGTTCAAATCCAAGTTGCTTACAAAACATCTTGGACATATAATTCACAGGCACCATCATGTTAACATATGATTCATCTTTGATTCGTTTTAGTGTACCTAAATTCCAGTGTGGTGCAATGTCAAATGATCAAGGTTGTTTCTATGGTTGCAGTTTTGATACTAAAATAACCTGGTTTGTCTGGGAAAATGTGTAGTGAGCTCACCCTGTGAAGATTCGATTGCGGGGAAAATTAATCGTCGTATTAGATTGGTGCTTGGTTGTGGCCCCTATATAGAACTTCGTGTACCCTATGGAGCGGAAATGTTTGATAATTAAACCAGCGTATTCATGGCAAATTTGACTGATTATCGTCTTGGAATGTACACGCCGGTGGAATAAAATGAATTGCTCCCTTGTTCACATTTTACTGAAAGCAACAAACATATCGCAAGCTGCCGAATGCAAATGCTATCACTGAGTTAAATAATTAAACATTGTCGGAAACATCAACGCAAAAGCGACTTTTTCCTTTCGATTGTGATCTTCGTTTAAGACACCTGCGTCATTATAAATCTTTCTGTTTATGTGTTATGAATTTCACATCTGTTGGATACAATTGGTCATTTGAATTCAATGTAAATTTTACATATTTCGTTTTTAGTTGAAGTTGGATGGGTGTACTTTCGATGCTTTTAAAGCACATTATTGATTTTTGAACGTGTGGATAGAAATGACGTCATTAGTCCATTTGCAAAACATCAAAATCGGAAAATGCATCTTTCCCGTTTTATTTCCCAACTTCCTGACGTATTTTTTTTGAGAATGCCTTACAACTCTCCTGAGTAACAGTTAAGATAATTTGGAAGGCTGCTTAGCTCACGGATTGATTTGCACCGAAAATTCTAAACTTAGGTATCCGAAAGCATGAAGGATCTAACTCACAGACTGTTTTCAAAACATCTGGTCTTCAGAAAGATGCTTCACAGGCGTTAACTGTGTATTGTAACCAGTAGACCTCTGAACGTAAATAAGCGTGATTTGTAAAACTAGGGCCTGAATTTATGAAACGGCGAGTAAATAAAACGCTTTCAAAAACATTTGGAAAGGTCTCAGAAAGTTCACAATGAATGCACAAGTCGTGAATCGTGTGACGAACAAGCTAGACATTAGGCTATTTCGATATGAAGTCAAACAGCTTATGGTAAGACATCGTTAACTGCATACTTTAGGGGTGGAATACTAATAGCTGGTGCAGAGTGATAATATTAAGGAATGTAACAGAATTCCAATAAGCCATGTACCGAGAGTTCCATAAAAGGTAAAATGAAGATCACATTGGAACGTAACAACAATCTCTGTGCCATCGGTTCGTTTAATGATTACATTAAAACGATCTTTTTCGATACAACTGTACGAAGTAATAAGAAGGAGAAAGCATCACTTGCAAGTTACGGGAAAAATTATTTTCAACTGATTCAAGTTCACGGTTTTGCTTAGATTGTTTTCCTTCTGTCCCGAAATTTAAGTTAATTTAAACTGATATCCGTGAATTACATGTAGAAGAAATAATCTTTTTTTCACGCATCAACAGGCCTCCAAGTTTCCAAACCTCAGATGTATGTTGTTATTTGTCGTATTGCTCCGTTTCCTCCAACACCGTTAAACAATGGAGCTTTTTTGTCAATACTGAAACTCAGTGTTCCGACGATTTACAAAATACATTTACACTACAGAACCAGTTTTACTTTCTGAAGTTCTGAATAAAACCGTTGTGGACGAATAAGAATGTAACGTATTAATAGAAGTGCTAACTGATCTGGTTTGACTCACTGAATTGCCACATTAGCTGTTCTTCGAAGAAGGCTGTGATAAAATGACTCAGGAGGATCCATGAACTTTACCAGACTTGTTGTGAGCGAAAACAGAAGCAACTCACATACACTTTGTTCTTTTCAAACCGAATAAAGTTTGCAATGCCTGAAACAAGCTCTTTTATTCTGTTTTTATTCATAGACATCAGCGGTGTGTCAGACAAGCCCCGAAGGAAACTGCAACCCTACAGTGAGCAGGAGGCTCACTGAATCGTACTTATTCACAGAAGTTGCTAGGACAGTGATTTCATATGCTTTAGTTTAACCCAAATCTTTCCGCCCTTTAGTTTGTGTGACCTCTGGATCCTGATAACCGCTGCCTCGATGTGAAACACTTGACGTGATTTTCATTGATCCATTCTCTAAACTAAACAATAACATGATTTGCTCTTCACTATGTAACTTGATACCGCCTTCTGAAAAGATCTACTCTATTTAGAGATTATGAAATTAGAACCTGTAACATGCGTCACACAATCTTGAATATATTTATAGCACAATTTGAATGTATTCCCACAGCAATCTAAGGCATCTGTGATTCTCGTTTATTCATGATCCTTGATAGAAATAGAGATTTTTATTAATGTCCAGGTGCCGCATTTTAAAAGAGCAATATGAGTGAAGGAGTTTCGTCATTTTAATGCACAATGACAGTAAAGATAAGCCATCGGATATCTTCTACCTGAAAAATGGTCAGTTCGCATTTCAAGTCTGAGATGAAAGATTGAACGTGTTAAGCACAAAAAAGCAGGGCAAAAGTCTTCCATCTGTCATTTGTACCCCAAGCCGTATACTTTGATTGATTTATCAAATCAGTTTTTATCGCCATCTGTGAAATTTGGACTCAGTACATCTTTAAAGATAGATGGAGAAAAAGGTACATAACGAACTAATCGTTGCCGGGGGTTACCAAACCAGGTTTTTTCATGAGAAATCCGATTTTTCTTTTACATTAGCCTTTGATTGACTGGAGCTAACAATCTAAGACAACCAGAAATGCAATCAGCCAGCGCTCGGGTTAGAAAATTCGGTTTTGCTTGAGTATGAGGTTTTTCAACAATCGAAAGCGTAAGATCGCCATGCCTGATAACGCCTTAATCCTAGAAATCATACTTATGTTTTTAAATCAACTTAGTCACTCAAGATAAAAACGTGTACCAAAAAACAATTTTGAATAGGTACGCATTTGTCAGATAAGTTTACAATTCACTCCTATACTTCTCAGGCTATTCTATTATTTGGTGTTGGAGCCGATGTTTTATTACGCCTAAGTTTTCAAATAAACTATCTGTATCAGAATCAAAGATGCACAAACTGTCTTGTACTGCAAGAAGGATTATTGTCTTAATGTAGACTTGGCAACCAATAAGGCCGTTTTTGTCTCAGGCTGCATGGTTCAACGTAAATGTTTTTCTGGATTCTGTTTTCTTAGCCATATACTACAAATGTAAGTTAAATGGAACATATTTCATCGAAATTCATTACTCTCAGACTGTCGCAATGAACATGACTAGATTGCGTTCACGAACATTTGCTTTGCGGTTTCACTTAAAAACGTTTACCAAACCACCAGATTTTGCAGGACCTTTGGATCGAGTTTAACGAGAACCACTTGTTGCAACGGCATCCCTGCCAAATTTACAACGTGAACTTGCAAGCGCATTGAAATGTAAAGAAAGCTGGATGACAGTAAACCATGTATCAATACCCATAAATGGATACACATAATCTAGCACTGAGTGACGTTCCAGCTCATTACTGCTTTGGGTTAGCGTTGTTTTTCATCTTTGTTCACATATGACATTCGACACTGACAATGGGAATTGCCAGCAAGATCAGTTTGAGAATACTGCTCATGTTCTGTTTACAGCGGAACAAAAGACGATATATGATGATCCACGGTACAGTATTGTCGCTCCATGATTCATGGTGTGCTAGATTGAGGCCAACAACCGCTGCATCCATATGTTGTGTCTTTCAATTTGAGACTAACATATCACTACTGGAAACTGCGTATGTATCTGTTAGCGAACATTCCCAGCAGCTCCAGCTTAAGCCAAAAGACGTCCGAATCGGGTTCATTACAGCATTCACTGAAGAAAGAATTGCAAAATGAACGGAGTTGTCTACCAATTCTTGTATTTCACACATGAAACAAAACCTTTGCTTTTTTGAGAGACAGGAGCAACTTGAAGTAAACAATCCATCGAATGTATGATAATTTTATTAACGATTTAGAAATGCAAATTTGTATTAATAAATGGGGTCACCAGACATACCTCGATTGCTGGAGTTGGTCAACCCAAACGCCTCATCCTTCACGTATCCGTCGTCTAGTTTTGCTGTATCCGGTGTTTCCATGGATTCTGAGGAATACAATCAGATATCAATGTAAGAGGTGCAACGGTTTTGCTAAATGCGATTTATTCAGTGATATAAAATTACCGTAACCAAAACAGGCCCTTTTCCGTTCATGTTTCTCACAATCAGTGGGATAAATGTGATTTTACTGCATTCAGTTACCTTTATGAATATCCCGACAAAGCTTTACTCCGGATTTCATCCCGTCTTAACAATTGGTCAGCATACTGCACAAACTACCTCATTGCACTGGTGCCCAACATATGTCGCTACTGGCGAGTTCCATTAATAATTGGAATAAATATACTTTCTAAAACCACCACAATTTGACCAAGTTCACTCAATCAAGCAGCATTTGGCAACATGATGCACTTCACTGAATCACCTTTTTGAACATATGGTGATCGCTTTTGTTGCCTTTATTTGTATACACCATTATTCTACTGGTCATCATCAACATCGACCAGCTCCTTGTCTGTTTATTTTAAAATTTGCCAAATTACGGAAGATTCCCATATGAATATCAAAGGCAAAACAGTATGGCGAACAAGCTTGTTTT